ATTTTTGTATGTATTGTGTCAATTTCTATGTGTATTGTGTGAATCAATCATGTGTGTGCCTCTATGTGTTTGTCTGTGTGTCTAGGATGAATAGTGTGCGTCATCTTTGTGTGTGTGTGTGTCTTGTGTATTTGATAAAAAAACACAGATTTACTTACAAGAGTGTTCCTCAGTTTAGATATTCCAGTGACAATTATTCTTTTCAGCCAGTTTATTCTCCAAAATCATCCGATTGTCTTCACCAAAATATTTAACATTTCAGGAATTTTAAACGGAAACCATTATTCAGTGCTCAAAGGTAGATTCTCGGAAAAAAAACATGCACTTCCGACCTCAAATTTTTCCTTTCATAATTTTTGGAATATCTTTTATACGAATATATATATATATATATATATATATATATATATATATATATATATATATATATATTATTTGAAGAATTTACAAAAAATTCTTTTAGTGAATTTCTGTATGATATTGGTTGATCAGGGTAAAAAAAACCAAAAATTATAAAATTTTTTTTTCGAAAAAGTATATATTTTGCTTTTGAAACCAAATTAATAGTTCACTTGCCAGTAATTTAAAATCGCAGGAGAGGAGTGAATCATTCTTTGATTGGACAAATAGAACGACTTCAATTATGTTAGCGATTTTGAATGGATTTTGTTTTAATAATATTAAAAATAATGAAAAGATTGGGATGATCCATATAAATATAGGTAGATAGATTTTATTTATGAACAGATAGATAGATAGATAGATAGATAGATAGATAATAGATAGATAGATAACAGATAAGTGTGTGAATATAGACAGAGGGACATGCGAACACGTGGAGACCGATAGATAATATATATGTCATAATGTATGAATAACAGACTAGAAGATTATATTATATGGAGTAATGGTTAGATGCTTGGATTTCTTTAAAATCGGAGAGTTGAGTTCGAATTCCAGTTGAATCCAGTTACATTCACTTTCATGAAAATTATTTTAAAAAAGGTATGAATCCAATTCTTTCTCCCTCCAGCTATGGGTAAACACAAAGGACAGACTTGGTTCTATAGCCTTGGATGGCAACTGGTCTGAAGAAGAACAACTGAATTCAAAACCTGTGGACAGTTTGGGGATAAATAAGACAGTGCTCTAGGTCTCTGTTATTCAGGCCCTTAAAAAATTGTGGAGGGTTCTGCACAGTTTTGTTCAAATCTTAAATGCTGGTGTACAACCCTGTCTGTTCTAGGAACTGAGCTGCTTGTCCCTCATACGAAAGGAATAGCCCAATATATATATATATATATATATATATATATATAATTATATATATATATATATTTGTTGTGAAAATAAAAATGTTTTTTAAGATTCCATGTGCTAATATTTCAGTTAACCCCTTTAACAGGGTTCTGGATCATTTTTGAACTACAATGTTGGGAAATTTAAAAAGAAATCCATCACGTTTTGGAATGATAAATATGACACCTCTATCCTTTCTCACCTCACTTCCTCAATTTATACAAATATTTGATGAGAAAATCAGGACGTGAATTTTTTTCATTTTTCATTTTATATTTTTGAAATAAAAAAGTCTTTTGATCCAAAAATTAAAAAGGGGTTATGGTGAAATAGCTTATTACATGGAATCTTAACGTGGTCTGTCTTTTATTCAAACATATCTGCTCTGAATTTTACATTGAGCTCTCTGGATATCATCCTCCTCAGGTCTATCCATACGGATTACCTAAGTTTGCATATACTATATATATATATATATATATATATATATATATATATATATATATATATTTAAATATATATATATATATATATATATATATATATATATAATTTATATATATATATATAAGAAAAAAGTTAATTTAAACAGTTATTCCATTTCATAATTTATTCCATTGGAAAAACATTTTACGATCCAATTGTTAATCAATAACTTCAAAATGAAAAAAGAATATTATATTTAAGCCTTTTTATTATATCCTTAAAAAAGACATTGAGTTCTACCTGGATTCTTCCTCTTAAATTTTTTTTTTCTGAAAATATACATGTATGGGTATTTATATATATTTTGCATGTGTATGTATATTTTCCATTAATATTACTCTTTCTCTCTATATCTATTTGTCTTTCGAAAAAACATATATATATATATATATATATATATATATATATATATATATATATATAAAAAGATAGATATATAAATATATAGACATTAGTAAAATAAGATAATTAACCAACATTTATTCAAAAATTCTTTTTCAATCTACTAATCAAAATATCCAAAGAATCGACTTCTTGGGTTGCAAACTGCGATATTTTAATAAATAAAAAAGAATTGAAAAAATCTTTGATAGCAAGCCTCAATTTTGGAACCTTAAACTGAATGCTTTTATTTTTTTTTCTTACCCTGATATTGATGAATAAACCAGCCTATATTTGCAGCCAATAAAGGCGTTTGAAAAATTTAACAAGTTAAGGTGAGGGTGATTTTGAATTTAACTTAAAAAGGAAGATGCCTTGGCAATTAAAAAAATATCAATTTAAAGGTATTTGGGGCTAGAGTTAGGTTTTAGTTTATGCAAAAGAATGTCTTCTTTCATTATAGATTTATAGAAAAATAAAAATTTTGCCATCTTTTAAAAAACAGCAAAAATAGCTTTTTCGTACCTGACCCTTATTTGAAATTCTGAAATATATATTCTTCATATCGTGAATTATCAATGAACTTTTTATTTATTTGTTTATGTATATTTTACTTTCCCATAATTATTAGAATCTATTTAAAACACAGAGCTTTTTTCTTAGATTCCATTCGAAACATACTAGTAGAAAACACAAACATAATGAGACGGGGGAAAATGAAACAAAAAAAAAACGATTAAAATTTCATTTAATCCTTTAATAAGACTGTTGAAAAATTTTAGCAATTGAATAATTGCCTTTTACGAACAAGGTTCAATGTGTTAACCGTGTTTTCAGGAAATAAAACATCTCTATATAAGACTAAATATACATATGAAACACATTCAATTAAATTGAAAAATAAAATCATTTTTATGACTAAAGTATAGGGGAAAATTATGGAGAATTATAGAATTTTTCAACATTTTTCGAAACCTTTGTTCGGTGGAAAAAAACACTTGTTCGATCAATAAAAAAGAGAATTTTTGCCTTAGGTAAATGAAACACATGAATTCAAAATATAATATATATATATATATATAAAAATATATATATATATATATATATATATATATTGTATATTTAAAACAAATTTATATATATTTTATAAATTCAGATTACCAACACACAAACAGAAAATATCTCATATCGAGAATATTTAACATTGAACATGAGAATAAAAAATTAATTATTTTTAATAATATGTGAAATTTCCACTTTTACCTGAAGATAGTCACGAGACCAGAAACATGTGTAAAAAATTATGTAAAACAAAGCATAATTTTTTTTCTAAATAAATCCACATTACAAAAAAAACGTTTACGGCAATCTCTTCTCTTCTTTTAAATATACATACTTTTCTCTCGTTGGAACCACTACATTAAATTTTTTAGCAAATATATATATATATATATATATATATATATATATATATATATATATATTCGATATCAAATGAGGTAAAATAAAGTAAAATAAAAAAGGTCTTTAAGTTGTCATGCAAACTTTTTTGACAGATTGTTTTAGCTGTCAAGCCTCAGTGAATCATAATCATGTTTTGAAATTATTTCTGTCTGTCTGTCTGTCTGTCTGTCTGTCTGTCATTTTCTCTCTCTCTCTCTCTCTGGGACCCTAATTAGGTTAAAGTTATTTACCCCGGAGAATGGTTATCCTGGGAACAAAAGCACTTAAGAGTTTGTTCTACGCTCCTCAAAATCTCCCAATCAGAAGTCTTGCTGCCGGATGTAGTTTATCGTCATGCCCAGGACTTTTAAAATCTGAATTAAAACTGTTTATGTATGTATAATAAAAAATAAATGTTTATTGCTGACTCTGTCTGAAAAAAAATATAACATGGACATTGTCTCGGATCGAATTTCTTTGGCATAAATTAAACTCATTTGATGTTTTCTTCTCTTTTTAGCGCACTGTTCAGAAAGGTGCCAAATATGTGTGCTTGGCCGACAAGAATTGCCCTTAAACAAACGATTTAAATAGATGCAAGTTCTCACAGATATGGATAAATATCTTACAATTTGGAATGGTAAAATAAAAAAAATTTCAAACATGTATTTTACAAAAAATGTTGAGAATTCCATAAAATATATATATTATATATATATATATATATATATATATATATATATATATATATATATATATATATATATATATATATTTAATATATCAAAACATTAATTAAATATATATATATATATATATATACGTAACAAATATAATTACATATTTTTTATTCGACTAATACCCTTAGGGAAGGTATAGAATATGTGTTTCTCCCCCCACCGCCAGCTGTGGGTAAATATCAGGACAGAGCGGGTTGCCTTGGATGGCAGAAGATAATGGCAAATGCATTAAAACTGAAAAGGTCTGCCTCAGTCATTATCGAAAGATACATGATTATTAAACGTGGATCACGGATGGCACATCTGTTTATATATATATATATATATATATATAATATATATATATATATATATATATATATATATTTATTTCTTTTAATTATTTTTGAAGAAATCTTAAATCTAACAGCATATATTGTCGTCACAACAATATCAACAAACCCAGTCCGATGAAGTCTTCACGGATGAAACGCGTGACAATTATTTTTTTACATTTTGTCTTGCTTTTTCCTAAATATAAACACATGTACACATCAAGTGCTCCAGACCAGATACAATCTTGAGCTGAGCGCCGTGCTTCAAAAAAGTTTCGGCCCATTAATCTCAGTATCTCTCTGATCGGTGGGGGCAATAGCTATTCTTGATGATGTTATGTTGCAACCGGTCTATGTCGTTAGCCGGACGCGACTCGATACGAATTTCCGGGTAATCCATGCACTACCTTCCACCGTTTTCTCGCCAAAAGGTCTTTATCATCTTATTCGGCTTTTGGATACCAGCAGACTTGAGGAAGCTCTTACCAAGGAAGCAGCAGGAAATCCTTTATATCCAAACTCAAACTGCACCAAGGCGCATCCGTATCCCCCTCTCTTGGACCTCAGCCACCAGACCCTCATACCGAAGAAGCTTTCTTTCATGAGCCTCTCAATACCCTCCTTGTTTAAACCGTCAGCGCACAAAGGATTTCAATTTCGCTATCAACACTAGATCAGACCTCAGTCCAAGACAATCCTTCGCAGGTCCAACGATATATATATATATATATATATATATATATATATATATATATATATATATATATATAAAGAAATAATCATACATAGAATCAATCAGCAATATTAATGCGATTAATGGCGAAATCACTTCGCTAGTAGAACATAATTTATGCATTAAAAGGTGTAAATCCATTGAATGATGTGATCCTCATTTATAAAACTGTTGTCAGATGTTAAAATAGTATATTTTTTTAAGTTAAGCAAGTACTTTCGAAGATCTTCATTTTTCTTTTTTTTAAAAAAATTACAGCCTGATGATGAAAAACATGGAATATTACAACGTTTTCAGCCGTTGTACGCTCAAGTCGTCTGCAGGTGGTTATAAATGTCGAAATGAACCCTTTATTTCGCTCACTAAAGGTAGAACATTTCTAGTCCCACGTTTAATGGATGTCAGTTATCAGTTATCTCCTGTTAATTCCCCTCTGAAAGTTCTCCACTGGCTTAACCAGGTATTGAACTCGCACTCTTTGGATCGCTATCACTTAATCTAACCAACGTCTTTATCCAGTGCGCCATATTGCCATCAAAACACAGATAGATAATAGTAACCGACGATAAAGTCTCACAAGGTTTTCTTTTTTTATCTTATATATATATATATATATATATATATATATATATATATATATATATATATATATATATATATATATATATATATATATATATATATATATATATATATATATATATATATATATATATATATATATATATATATATATATATATTATGATATATTTATAATTTTTATTCTATTTATATATATAATATATATATATATATATATATTGCATTCCTGATGATATGCATAAAGTGATGAATGCATTTATTTAACGGATTTACATATGTTGGAATTAATATCCTATTAATAAATATATATATATATATATATATATATATATATATATATATAAGAAGAGAGAAACCTTAAACGTTTTTGGTTGTAATGTGTATTTTTTAAAAAAATATTATGCTTTATTTTTCCATCATTTTGCTACACGATTTTCCAGTTTCGCTGCCTTCATCAGGCAAAGCGTGGAGATTTCCACATATTATTGAGAATAATTAATTTTTTCTTATGTTTTTCGATTTTAAATATTCTCGATATGAGACATTTTATTTTAAGTGTGTTAGTGACCCAAATGTCTTTCTTAAATGATTCATAGATTTTTCTTAATCCGACATTATATTTTAGTAGGTAACCGTGAAAAAAGAAACGCCCCGTTTTTTTTTGTTTTTTTTTTTAAAGTGTATCATTTGTTCCGACCTGCAGACTAGAGGATACATTATAAATAAAAGATGCTCCCCGGCGGGGTTCAAACTTGTGTCCTCCTTTGTAAGAGAAACCAGAATCTAATTCGGTGGGCCCTAGTTTTAGAATCTAATTCGGTGGGCCCTAATTTCTGACTGCATTTTACCTCCTTCAAGAAATACACACTACCTTAAATGCCTAACAGTCTCTTCCTCTCCCTCTCTCTCTGTAAATAATATATATATATATATATATATATATATATATATATATATGTATGTATACGTATATGTATATACATATATATATATATATAGACAGGTGGATATTTCGATGTTATACATTATAAATATTTAGACAGAGAAGAAGAAGAAGAAGAAGAAGAAGAAGAAGAAGAAGAAGAAGAAGAAGAAGAATGTTACATTTACATAAGTCGTGGAGAAATCGTTCTAAGTAACTCGGTTAATCGAAATAAGTGCTGGGAAATTTGATAGGATAGTAGAGAATTTACATTTACTTTATTTTATTTTTTACACACATACGCATACAGACACACATATAAATACAGACACACATACATACTTGCATATATACATACATACTTGCATACATACATACATACACACACACACACACACACACATATATATATATATATATATATATATATATATATATGTGTGTGTAAATATATAATATAAAGAGGAAAGAACATAATTATAAAATTCCACTGTTCATAACATTTACTTTTTAAAAGGTTCTCAATACATTTCAACATATATAATATATATATATATATATATATATATATATATATATATATATATGTTGAAGAAATTTGACAAAATGATACGATAAATAACCATTAGCAAACAGATCTTGTTTTTTTATCAATTTCTATCTTGATCTCTGTTGAAACTTTAACAAAGTGAAACATGTTAGATCAATATCTGTTTTTTTCACTTGTTCTTTACCGCATATATATATATATATATATATATATATATATATATATATATATATATATATATATATATATATATATTGTCTGGTTCACACTCCTGCCCGATCTTTTGAACTGGAGTAGAGGTTGATACCTTGTTTTCTTTTCAGGAGTGGGCTTCGGTTCCTTCTATGTTTTCTCATTCTCTAGACAAACACACGTCTTAATGGCATTATCGTTTTGAAATTGATTAAACAAGTATATATATATATATATATATATATATATATATATATATATATATATATATATGCAAAGATAGAGACTGCGTGTGTTCGTATGATTGTATATTCGCCATTAAAACTATTTTAAAATAAAAATATTTATGTAAAATACTTATTCACTTATATATACATACATATATATATATATTTGTATGTGTATGTGTGTTAGTATGTTGTGTGTATCCGTGTGTGTGTGTATGTGTGTTATAGGCCATATTTCATAGCAGAATCTTCGTACGGATTCTTGACAGCTATTAACCGAAACGACTGCACAAAATGCGCGCCATATATCAGACTTGACAACAATTTAATGTCGGCCACAGTTTTATTCTTTTCAAAAGTTGTATCCTCTGTTTATTTGTTCATAAATCAACCGAAAGCTTCGTCCGCTCGCCATTCGAAACGCAGTCACTAGCCTTTTTTTTTTACAGACCTTCCCGCCAATATACAAACTGTGAGGCAGACAACTTTAACCGTCCTGTTTCCTGTCTTATGGTGTCCAACGCGCTCAGAAATGACTAAACTATCAGCTTACGGCCATTTTTTTTTTCTTGGTGATCAATCTATCTATATAAAATTCTCTGACTTCCTTTAAACCGTGCATCACATCCTCTAAAATAGCCATACACTGACCGATCGAAACCAAATTTTTGGGAGAAATGCAAATAGCTAAGGGAGTTGGGAGTACAGTTGATTTTACTCGGGTGCGTAGCTTACTACAGTGTAACCCGGATATAAGAGACCCGGATATAAGAGAAACCCGGATATAAAGAGATTTTCTCTGGTCCCAAATTAGAGCCTGTGTTAATGTATATAAATTAGACCAAACCCGGATATAAAAGAAACCCGGATAATAAAAAACTTCTTTTCTCCGGTCCCGACAATCTCTTATATCCAGGTTACTATATGTATCATTCATTTTCTTTAAAAAAATTAAATGTTTTATTATTTAACATACAAAATATTTTAAAAAACATTTTAATAATTTAAATAACAAATATTCTTTTCATAAAAATGCAATATTGTATTTTTGCATATCTTTTCTATAAATATTTATACAAGAATCCAGTTTCTAGTTCGCCCTGCGTCTGCGAGGAGATCTATAAATAAATCACAAGACCAAACGCTTCAAAAAGTTGGAATTTCGCCCCCGAAAGAAATATTTACGCATGGCTAGTTGTATGTTGTACGCTCAAGAGTAAGAAATCCTAAGAATTTATTCTTCGCTGTTAAAATGGGGAAAAAAAGAAATTTTCTTAAAAATATTGTTTATCATGAAGTCCTATAAAATTCAATTCTATTAAAGAAATTATTAAACAGCGTAGTTGAAGTTTTGAAAAAAAATTTTCCAAACAAACAAATTATTCAAAATTTCATCGACTGGTTTGGAAAATTGAACAAAATATAGTTTTAAATCTCGACAAAAAAGTTAGCGATAACTTCAACAATACTAAAAACTGTGAGGATTTCAATACATGTCAGCGTGTTGCAAAATTTTTTATATATATATATATATATATATATATATATATATATATATATATATATATATATATATATAAAAGGAAGAGGTTGTAGTGGTTCCAACGAGAGAAAAGTATGTATATTAAAAAAAGAGAAAGAGGTGCTGCAAACGTTTTTGGTTGTAATGTGGATTTATTTAGAAAAAATATTATGCTTTGTTTTTACATAATTGTACGACACGTGTTTCTGGTCTCGCGACCGTCTTCAGGTAAAAGCGGAATTTCCAATATTATTAAAATAATTAATTTTTCCTTATTTTTAATGTTAAATATTCTCGATATGAGACATTCTCTGTTTTTGTGTTAGTAATCCGAATTTCTTTCTTGAATTTCTTTCTTGAATATATATATATATATATATATATATATATATATATATATATATATATATATATATATATAAGAACACATTTACATATAAATATCGCATACCTGAAAACTATATTTTTACACACACACACACACACACACACACACACACACACACACATATATATATATATATATATATATATATATATATATATTCTGTTTATACTTTATTTTTATAGATACACATATTTAAGTAAATGCTCTGTCAGTAGTATGTTGTATGCTCAAGAGTAAGAAATCCTAAGATTCAACAATAGTATACATTTTGAAGCAAATTCTAGTTCTTGAAAATGGCTTCAAGTGAATGCATAAGACTATCTTTTACCAGATCCCATAGACTGACGCAAGAGTATCACAAAAACTTTAGCAAATAACAAACACCACATCACATGAAAACTTCTAGCAGCGGCAACAGTAAAAATCGATAAGACATGTAACTCTGGAGGAAGCTTATGACATTGCCAATATATTTACTTTCCGCAGTACCTTAAACGAAAGGTTAGGATGGAAACTTTCATCAATACTAGAAAGAATGAGAACAGTTGACATGTGAAGTCTTATATCCTGAAAAATTATTTTAAGGGAAAGGGAATGGATTTGAAAAATTCAGTCGACCGTAACGCTAACATTTCGATTAATAAATGCTGAAAGTTTCCTGTAGGGAAACAGTTAATCACACCGTTACTCTGATCATTAGCACCCACATCCATGTTTTCAGAACGAGGTACATTCATTGGTAATAGGTAGAAAACAATTTTTTTAATTTAAATTTATATAATGAATACAATATTTTGTGTTGATGGGTTTTCATTACTTTGATTTTCATAGCAATCTCGTTTTATCGCGATACCCAGGTCATCATTCTACGACCGCTGTTAAGTAACTTGGATCCGAAATAAGGAATAAGCTTAAAATCAGATTTACATATACAACACTTTTACTCGGGACTTATTCTTTCCAGGATAGCTCCTTTACCGATTAGGCTACAGAAAACTACCAGTTACAGTAAAGCAAGTCTAAATGTATACATTTTATAATATTCGTTTTCTCTTCCGGCAGAACATTTGATAGGCAATGATCTTCGTTTATTTACACTAGTAATATTAGTAATCTACTAATAGTAATATTAGTAATATATTTGTAGTAATATCAGTGGTAGTAATTTCCGCATTCATGGAAGTATGTATTTTTAATGTTTTTCTTGTTTTGTTTTTTTTTTTTTCTCAGTTGTTCGAACAGACAGTTTGAAAGGGCGGCGAGGAAGATTACCATCAAAACCGAAGAGCCCACAAGAGTCTCCACCGTCCCCGCCCGTCAGCCTTATCACTGCGCTTGTGCGTGCCCACGTGGACACTTCTCCCGACATTCCTAATCTTGATTACAGCAAGGTAATACAACATTATGATCAAACTTATACATAGTTCTCTTCTTCTCTCTCTCCCTCCATCTCTCTCATGCTCTCTCTTTTTCTCTCTCTCTTACTTTTTCTTTCTCTCTCTTTCACTCTCTCTCTATTTCTCTACATATATATATGTGTGTGTGTGTGTGTGTGTGTGTGTGTGTTATAGTTTTAATGCATGCTATAATTATACGCAAAATTTTTCCCTAAGTTATGTATGATTCTTTCTATCTCTTTCTCTCTCACTTTCTCTGTCTCTATCTCTCTCTCTCTCTCTCTCTCTCTCTCTGTCTCTCTCTGTCTCTCTCTATATATATATATATATATATATATATATATATATATATATATATATATATATATATATATATATATATATATATATATATATATATATATATATATATATATATATAATTTTAAAACTTTTAAACACTAATATTCCATGGTCATAATTTATTCCATTGGAATCGTAAATACGATCAATTCATCAGACCTACAAATTCAAAAATATATATATATATATATATATATATATATATACTGTCTATCGTTATTTTCTGTCTTAATTTTCTTCGTTTATTCTTTTTATTGTGTTTTATTCTCATTTAGTAACCACAATTGCGGAATTTTTTGGCTTCCTTCAGGTGAAATGATTTAAATCTATCTATCTAATTTTAAAATAATATATCTATCTATATCTATATATATATATATATATATATATATATATATATATATATATATATATAGGTAGTTTAAACCAGGATATAAGAGACCCGGATATAAGAGAAACCCGGATATAGAGATTTTCTCTGGTCCCAAATTAGAACCTGTGTTAATGTATATAAAATAGACCAAACCCGGATATAAAAGAAACCCGGATATAAGAGACTTCTTCACCGGTCCCGACATTTTCTCTTATATCCGGGTTTATATATATATATATATATATATATATATATATATATATATATAAAAGGAAGAACAGTAAGATATATAATCCGGTATTTACATCCCTACCCCTACCAAAACGTAACTAATAACTGATCCATCAAAATACAGACATAATGAACACTCAAACACCCCTTGTCTGGTTGAATTGGATTTCTCTGTATCCTTGGAAACGTGAATTATGATTTTCGTTGTGTCTTTAAAACCCAGTAATTTTAAAAGTTACTCCAAAATTCGCTTGAGAATGAAATGGAACTAATGTCTTTAATTTAATTACAAAATTAAATTCGGAGCTTTCAGCTTCCATTTTTGAAACATGGTTAGAACAGTGTAGCGAAAAAAATATTTTAAATCAATTAATTTATAATATATATATATATATATATATATATATATATATATATATATATATGATCAAAATATAGTTTTATGGTATGTTATATTTATGGGTTAAAGTGCCCAATATCAGACAAAGAGCGCGTGCAAATATAAAAGCGAACACTGAGGTCCATATATATATATATATATATATATATGTGTGTGTGTGTGTGTGTGTGTGCATAAATTGTTGTTGCTGTTGTTATTTTTGTCTCTTGAATTCTTTTCATCCATTCATATAATTATTTTTTTCTAGTATAAGGAACTCTCAGGTGAAGACAGTCCGACTGCAGAAGTAGACAGAGTTCGCCTTTTCTACGACATTCTTGTGTCTTCTGTTGACGTCATCAAATGTTGGGCCGAGAAAATTCCTGGCTTTCACGACTTGTGCAAAGAAGACCAAGAACTTCTCTTCCAGTCGGCCACACTTGAACTTTTCGTCTTACGAGCAGCCTACAGGTAGGTACATTTTTCTCACTTAATCAATGGGATTCAGGCAATCGTACCTGAAATTAATTAACATTAATTAACACCTGGAAGTTTTTGCTGATGTAATAATTACTCACATATTTATTCGTGTGTTTAGAACATAAGTGATTCCGAGTATGGGACCCCTGTTCGAATCATAGTCGATTTGTAAAGATTATTTCTTCAATATAACGACAGGACATCTTACATATACATTTTAATTTTTTTTTAATTAATTTAAACTTTTCGTGGATACCTGTGTTTGAAATAGACGCCCAGCTCGAACCGGCACTGCGCCCACATTTGTAGAAGAAATTACCGGTTGAACCACCGCGTTTCAGTCCAGGAATTTTTTATTTCTCCTTTTGGTGTGTGTGTGTGTGTGTGTGTGTGTGTGTGTGTGTGTGTGTGTGTGTGTGTGTGTGTGTAGGGGGGGCGTTCGAACACATTTTCTTGGGTGCGCAGGACGATGGACTTAATACAAAACGTTTTAAATATACAACAGAAAAACGAGGTGTCTATTTCAAACACGGCTATTAAATAAAAATAACAAATATGTGGTGCAGTTCAATTTATATTGTAATGAATCATTCATTCATACAAAAAGTAGATTAGTGAAGTTAATGATATTAGATTATGTCGAAATAACACATTTTTAAAAAAATAAACATATTTCGATTCGCATTTAATTTTCTTCGTCTGAGATGCTATCTGAATTTTACCAAAAACAAAATAATTTCCATGCCTGAAGATGACTGAATGTACAGTTGAAAGTAATAGCGTTTTAAAGAAAGACGTTATACTGCTTATAATTTTTAAAAACAAGGATCATAACATTCATCAAGTGATTTGTAGGTTAATGCAACTTTAAAATTTTGTTTGCGAAGGGATTTCACCATTTTATATCATTAACTTTAGTAATCTACTTTTGTATGAATGATTCCTAATAATATATATATATATATATATATATATATATATATATATATATATATATATATAGTAAGAAATAAAAATGTATATAATCCAAGTGGATCCTAAGAATATCAAATGTATTTATTATAAAACCGACGTACAAGTGTTGGCTGAAATCTATTCATATTACATAATTTTTATTTTTTCTGTAATAATATATATATATATATATATATATATATATATATATATATAAGCGTGTGTGTGCGTTATATTTTTTTTAATCGCGTCATTTCGGCCGATTTAACCACTGGGATTCCTCAGGCGTACTTCACGTTCGGTAATTAAAGTAATCTAACACCTAATTAAGCTCCAAATATTTGTGTGCACAGCAAAACAAAAACAAAAGAATATGCACCTGAGGAACGCCGGAAAACCTACCGGTCGAGACGTATTTAATTCTCTATATTTTATTAATTTTCTTTATGTTTACTTTTCATTTAGAGTGCAACCAGACTCGGACAAAATTATATTTTGCAACGGATTAGTATTACATCGATTGCAATGTTTACACATGTTTGGTGATTGGATCAATTCAATAATCGAATTCGGCATGTCATTGCACCGAATGACCCTCGACATCTCATCGCTAGCCTGCATGGCCGCGCTGTCCATGATCACATGTAAGTGACCCTCTTGATACATAATCTATCTATCTATATATATATATATATATATATATATATATATATATATATATGAAACAATTAAATGGGATGATTCCTGACCTCTGACAATCCCTGTTTTTCTCACTTCAATGCATTCCCATGGAAAAATCATTTGCAATGCATTAACATTATACATATAACTATTTTCTATTTTTTCATGATTGTATTAATTCCTGACCCACGACAATCCCTTCTTCGTGATTTTATTGTTTTATTACATCTAATATATATTCTTTCGGTCTATGAGAAGGGCAATTTTGAATTTAATATTTAATGAAAGACATTTGGGGATCTTGTGGCCCAATATGTGAACCGAATTTATCTGTCGGCGTAGCAGGTTGAAACCTATGGCCTCAAAATCTCGGTGGCCTCCAGCCAAGGTGTATAATATTTTTGACACTCTCATATGCCTTTCTTACACATGCTGTCATAACGTATTGTAGACTATAAATAAGATATCAATAATTTTAAAAACCCGTCAACATCCTCGGTTTTAGTCAAATTGTTTAATTCAACACTCTTACATTTTCCTCTGCTCGTGAGAATGGATGATTTGGTTGGCGTTCTCACAAGTGGAATAGGCTAGGGCTTCTCTTCACCTAAAGGCGGCCCTGCATCCAGGTCTTCCAAAAAGTGTGGCTGTTTCTGCATAAGCCTTCAGCATAATCAAATAGCCTAGGACCTCTCTTCACCTAAATCCGGCCTTAGGACCCGGTTTTCCAAAAAGTAACTGGTTCTGCAAAAGCCTTCATCTTAATCAAATCCTATATACATGTAGCTTGACTGCTCGTTTCTAAGAACCGAAATGCTGTAACCTTATGCGTCGAAATCAAGAGAGTCCAGTTTTATACATAACATTATTTTTTTAATAATACCAGTTACTGCCAAAATACACTCTTATTGTAGATCAGGCACGGGAAACCTTTTCCGTCTAGTGGGCCGCGTAGGATATGGTTCATCATAAGTTGAGTCGAGCTACTAAAGTAATTTTTTGTTTAAGGTTTCCTCAGTCATTTTAACTACAGAAGACCATACGCGTAAGAAATATAGAAATGTTGATTTCTTTTTATATTTTTCTAGTGTGATTTATTTCAAATTTATTCCTTCGTAATAACTGACATGTGGCCGAGGTGCTAGAACGTTCCCTAAGCCCCGATTCGAATCTCATCATGGTCGATTTGACAGGAAGGTGACTTCTTGATAGGGATGCGATCCCAGCGTGTGGCAAGGAAAGGTCATGTAAACCACACCACGGGTTCAAGTGACGGAACTATTTGGGAGCCGTTGGGTGTGCTAGCACAAAATCGTAAGTCAGCGTGACCGAGCTTTTGAGCATACTGGCCTTGTTTCTCTCCCAAAAACTGTCACGAATATCCGCTCAGCATAGTTTCAATATAAGTCACGGGCTTTGTGGGTGTTGAACAAACGCTTATGTGTCTGAACAGGCGTCTGCAAAGGGAATTTACTAATTACATTAGAAATCAAACACTTCTGCTCTCAGAAAAAAAAAGTAATTTCGAATTTTGAATTTAAGGATAACAACATATTAAGAAATGTTTTTATACTGATGAATTTAGGGGTGATATTCAGAATGGAAAATACCCATAAATAGTGTTGATACCTTTTTTATAATGAATCTTTATAGAATTATTTTAAGTAAATCTTTCTTTTTTTATTGCTTTTTTTCAGTACGCCATGGTTTACGTGAGCAGAAAAAGATGGAGGATTTGCAAATGAAGATCATAGACACACTGCGCGACCACTGCATCTACAACAGCGAAGCCCAAAAGAAACCTCACTTCTTCTCGCGTATTTTGAGTAAAATCGCCGAGCTTCGGTCGTTAAGTCGGGAGGGACTGCAAAGGTTGTTCTACTTCAAATTGGAAGACGCCATTAAAGCCCCTCCAGTAATAGAGGACATGTACTTGAACAGCCATTTGCCGTTTTAGCTTTCAAGCAAACAAACAAAAAAAAAAAATGAAATCAGGTCTTTAAAGTGAGAAAGAAAGAAATTCAGTAAAATTATATCAGGAGCGAAAGGAAGAAAGAAAGAAAGACATTAATTATTATGAGAATTTGCATATATATATATATATATATATATATATATATATATATATATATATATATATATATATATGTATGTATGTATAAAGCAAAAGATGATGTTGGACAAACCCTTCGACCACGTGACATGTTATATTATTTTTTTACCCATTGGTTCCTTGATTGCACATATTGTGTCAATTTGGAATATTCTAGACATTTTGAATCGTTTCATTTATCTTCTGGAGCAGAAAATAACATATGTGATTACAAAAAAAAAATGGACGATTTGTTAAGCAAACAATCTTAACTTTAACTGAAAACGAGGTCTAGATTATAATGAAGAATGATGTACCAAGGAAAATACAATGAATAAATATGAAAAGAAAGACATTTTTGACTGAAATTAAAAAAAAAAAAAAACGAACGCAAAAAACAATTCCACGCATTTAAAAGTAATCATAATAACAATATATATATATATATATATATATATATATATATATATATATATATATATATATAAAAGAAACAGGAGGACGTAAGCACTGGGAAATAATTTAAAAAACTATATGGTGAGATCTTTTATTTTTCTTTTCAGAAATATGATTGGGGAGCAAGTTAAAATTGTATTTTATATATATATATATATATATATATATATATATATATATATATATATATATATATATATATATATATATATATGAAAGAAGCGAAAATATTTCATTTGCAGAGAAGGGACGTTTTGCTTTCAAATGAAAATACAAATTAGTGAATGATATGTTTTTTTTTGTTTTTTGTTTTTCACTCACAAAAGAAATAACATGCGAAACGAATTGAACAATTTTGACTATTTTTAAAAAAGAGATATTTTAAATTTTATGTTTAACACTTCTGTGAATTTCTTGAAGTGTCTTTCTTTCTTCCTCTCTTCCACGATCTCTCCTTCCTGCCCCGTTCTCTCTCTCTCTCTCTCTCACTCTCTCTCTCCATTCCCTCTGCAGTCTCTTTAAATAATGATTTGTCCCCTCACTTAAACAAGCCATTTTATTTTTTATTCTTCTTATTTATTTATTTATTGTTTGTCAGCAACTAGACGACACAACTTTGTTGTATGTATATATATATATATATATATATATATATATATATATATTGCGTTTATCAATGAAACAGAATGTCGTATCTGGGTGTTGATTTAATGTCCACTTTAATATTTACATATGCGCTATCCCTGATATTAAGCACTTTAAGCCATAAACATAGTATACCTTAAAACTATATTTTATTATATATATATATATATATATATATATATATATATATATATATATATATATATATATATATGGGTGTGCGCAAATTTTACCAGCGTTTTTCTTAATTAGACTCAGTTGAAAAGCTTTACGCTCTGTCCCTGATATTGACCACTTTAATCCATAAATATAGAATAACTTAAAACCATATATATATATATATATATATATATATATATATATATATATGTATGTATATATGTATGTATGTGTGTGTGCGTGCGTGCAAAATTTCCCAGCGTTTTTTCTTAAATAGACACTGTTGAAAAGCTTTACGCTCTATCCTTGCTATTTGCACTTTAACCCATAAATATAGAATACCTAAATTTATATATATATATATATATATATATATATATATATATAAAGCTACAGATGTAAAATTCAATTTGAAAAATATTTAAGATCTCTTCTTGTCAATTGATTTAAATCAAAATTCAAGAAAATATTCCTTTAAAACAAATATTTTAACCTTATTTTAATTAATTCTCATTTTTACCCATCTAGGGGGTGATGATAATTTATTCTAAGGATTGGCGTGTCCACGATTCAATTTTCTTTTAGGTGCTTATGACGTTGTACAGGCTTAAACGATATTCTCAATATCCTCCAGAAGATTCTTCTGCATGGCCGGGGCCGAACGCAGCTGGGCAAGGATGTCAAACTTTCTCTTAAATAAAACCTGTCAGTCCAGCTGGTTTAAATTCAAAGTTTTCCATCACCCAACCTGGTTGCCATCTAAGATACTGTTTGTCTTGATGTTTAATCTATATGTGGGGGAGCAGCAGAATAGACAACTTGATGACTTTCCCGTGTGCATTATTTCGAGCTAAACGCAACAGGCTCGATTGGAATTTGAACTCGTCACACCGGTTCTACATTTCACACCGATAAACGTTACACTCTCCGTAACTTTACACAAAAATTAACGCCTTTTATAGAAGACATAAAAACGAGAATGGTTTAGGACGATTTGAAATACGCAATATAGTTTTTGGGTTTTTTTTTTTTATCGGAAAGTTTTTTTTATAAAACTCCACCTATATATAATACCTTGTTTTATTTATGAATACCTGTTATCACAATAGGGTTTTTCGCTAGAATTGAGCTCAAGTCTTCTCAAATCTGCAGTACACTCATTAATATTTTAACAATGTCAATAATGTTGTTTGAGGAATAATTTCGATTCTTCCAGCCTTTTCGCAAGGGTCTTCGAATAAATAGGTGTACATTTTCACATGTTACCTTATTTGTTCTCAGTTCTCTGGTAAGATCCTCATGCTTATTCCCACATTTTCTTAACCCTTTTCGATTTCATTGTATTTTTTGCTGGAAGGGCAACATTATTAAATTTCTAGCGCATTTCTTTTTTTTTTTTTTTGTTTACGATGGGTGGATCTGGTCTTTTGGCCTTGATTGGTTGACCCGGTCATCTAGTTTTGATTGGGTGAATCATTCTTCGGGCCTTGACTGGGTGATCCAGATTATATCTCATTGATTGTATGATCCAGTCTTCTTGGCTTGATTAGGTGAATCGGCCTTCTAGCCTTGATTGGATGATCCGGTCTTCTAGACTTGACTGGGTGATCCGGTCTTCTGGCTTTGATTAGATGAATCAGTCTTCTAACCTATACTGGGTGATCCGGTCTTCTGGCCTTGATTAGGTGAATCAAGTCTTCTAACCTATACTGGGTGATCCGGTTTTCTGGCCTTGATTAGGTGAATCAAATCTTCTAACCTATACTGGGTGATCCGGTCTTCTGGCCTTGATTAGGTGAATCAAGTCTTCTAACCTATACTGGGTGATCCGGTCTTCTGGCCTTGATTAGGTGAATCAAATCTTCTAACCTATACTGAGTGATCTGGTCTTCTGGCCTTGATTAGATGAATCAGTCTTCTAACCTATACTAGGTGATCCGGTCTTCTGGCCTTGATTAGGTGAATCAAGTCTTCTAACCTGTACTGGGTGATCTGGTCATCTGGCCTTGATTAGTTGAATCGGTCTTCTGGCCTTGACAGGATGATATGGTCATCTACATTTGATTGGGTGAATGGGTCTTCTGGCTTTGATTGGATGATCCGATCTTCTGGCCTTGACTGGATGATCCGGTCTTCTGGTCTTGAATGGATTTGGTTGATCCAGTCTGCTGGCCTTAGTTAGGTAATCCGTTGGAATCTCAAAGCTTCAAAATATCTTACCGTTTCTCTATGACAACGTCTCTTTTCCGCGTTTACCGTTTGCCTACATAATAAATTAACAAATCGTAAAGAATCTCATGACACGGCCGGGATTTGAACTCGGATCGTCTGCTAAAGAAAGCATTTTTAGTTATTACACGCCTCTACTCACCAGACGTATATTACCTTTCAGTATTTCCACAGATTTCACTAATGTCGTCGTCTTTATTCTCCCTCTGATCTCTAACCACTTTGCAGTGATCTTTGAAGAATATTCCAAGTACTCCATTGATTATGGGTACGGCCATCATTGTCAGTGTCCTGAAATGTTTGTAAAGTTTTGGCTACGCTTTTCATTTTTTGCTTTTCCTTCAATATTACCCTAACGGAACAGCCCCATATAATATTATCACATATATTTCTTTTATTTATTTATATATTTATTTATTTTCAAGGTAATTAAATCTGGCCTCTTGGCCTTGACTCGATGATCTGCTTGAATATTAAAGTCCTTCGGTATCTTTCTTTTCTTTTTCTAAGGGGCAGTTTTTGGCTTGGATTCATATTCTTTTGTATAGACGAAACGAAGCCACTTGCACAGTTCCAAGGGAATAACTTTCCCCATACATTCTATATTTATTTTTCATGCTGAAAGGATGTCAAGAAAAGCGATTTAATTATCTGTGTTGACAGTTAATGTAGAGATTGTGAAGAATGTACACTTTTATTGTTTTAGTTTGGCAAATTCATATGATTTAATATGACTTAACAACATTAAACCATAAAAAATATTCATATTAAAATAGGGATTATTATGGCGACATTTAGAAAAAGAATACTTATATAAAACTACTGCCTGAAGAAGAGTATGTTCAATAAAAGTGCACCTATTTTTAAGATTGAATAATTGTCGTAAAATTATATATAGTTCGAATTTATTTGCTTCAACAAAGAACTACAAAATTTTCTATATCAACCTAAAAATTATTTAAGATTGAATGTTGTGGTGTTACGATAATTCACTTTTGAGTAAAGGCCTCAAACAAAGCGGCATGTGCACGGTCAGAATATAATTAAACCCTATTAATCAGAGGTTCGTTTATTACGCACCTGTCCTAAGTTGAAAGAAAGTTTTGCAGAAATTACAAGCCATTTTTGCTATGATTCATTGATCGATCGAAGATCACGCATTTAGCTTGAAATCGATTTTTAATAATCGACCTGTGTCAGAATATCTCCATTGCCGCATTGACTAACGCTATAAGATGTTTGGTGACATTTCCCCAATAGTAAATTATCGCCAATAGGTACGATGTTAAATTTTCAAATAAATTTAAGTGCCTATATAAATTTAAATGACTATATAAATTCAAGTGACTATATAAATTATATTATACGTCGAATAAAACAGAGACATATTATTTTTATCATTACGAAAATAAATACATTTTGAAGATGGGTGTAATTTACTCTAGGTCATACGGTGAGTATGGACATATATATATATATATATATATATATATATATATATATATATATATACAAATGTAAAAGAACGAAGAATAAATTTAAAACGTTCAAAACATTAATTTAAAACAGGGCTCAATACAAGAAGAGAGCAATAAATATTTATTATGCACTATTACGTTAGAGCATGTAAATTACTACAACAAAATTGTACATTTTGTTTCGACGTTTAATAAAAAACATCTCATCAGGTAGATGACAAAGATGGTAGCTACCTGATGAGACGTTGTTTGTTAAAAGTTTGTCTGATGATCGCAAAAGCGTAAAACCCAGGATTACAAACTCATATCAATACAATTGAATATGATAGCTCCATCACTGACATTGAGCACTTTCCAATACAGAATTTACATATATATATATATATATATATATATATATATATATATATATATATATATATATATATTCAACAGAACCCGACAGAATCATAGAATGGGGAGCAAATAAGAAACGTTTATAAATTTAATATGTGACATTATAAACGTTTATAAATTTAATATGTGACGATTTTATTAAAACTTCACCAGAAATATGGAGGAGAATTTTTTTTTTTTTGGCGTTTTTATTGGTTAAACAGAGATCACGTGAATCTGTCCTGTCAAGCAGCACTTCGTTTGTACAAACATGAATTATAAACACGAACCACAGCTTAAGAGGACAAATGTATGTGAGGTCTGTTCAATCAACGATACATTTTACATTCATATATATATATATATATATATATATATATATATATATATATATATATATATATTATTTACTGTCTAAAAACTAGAGTATGATAAACATATAAAACCATTTAATTTTTATATATATATATATAAGGAAAAGGAATGACACAGTGGAAATATTTCTCGTGTGACGCGTTTCGAATAGGATCCTCCCATATTCACTGACAAGCTTCTTATTATCCTTTTTAAAGTGAAAATTGCCATGTTGATACATATTCATTTTTCCGAGTTCTTTCGACATTACCACAATGTCAT